CGCCTCTCTAGTGACAGCGCTTTCTGACCTGTCAGGAGTGTGGACCTGCCTCCCAGGGGCTGGATTTGTTTGTTGAAGTCCTAACCCCCAGTGCCTCAGCATGTGACCTTACTTGCAAAGAGGGTCTTTGCAGCGTTCAGACGAGGACACGCTGGGGTCAGGTGGTCCCTATTCCAGCGCGACTGGTGTCTTGGTAGGAGGAGGGAGCTTGGATGCAGGAGCCCCTGGGAGGGCGGGGCTGCTGCTGCCGCAAGCCAGGGGACCACCGGGGGCACCTGGGGCAGACCCTACCTGGGATGTCAGGGGAGCTGGCGGGAGAAAACCAACACCCCATCTCACGAGACTGAAATGCTGGCTAACAAATGTCTGGAAAATGGTCAAGTCAGACGCAAACAGAAACCCTTTCTCACCCATCGCTTAAATGCAACCACACGAGATGCCTTCACAGCCCACCTGTGGGCACCTGGTCCCGCTGGGACAAGCGCCTTGCCAAGAGGTATCAGTGCCTCAAAGCATCACAGGCGTGGCTGTGGTCCTGCCTCCGAGGTGTCCTGTGACAGTGGCCAATGGCGGGCGAGGCTCCACCGGAGATGTCCACAGCGCTGTCACCTGCCCAGTGAGAACTGGAAGCTGCTCGAACGTCCCATCAAAGGGACCATTTGACTCTACCGGAGTGTCACTCGGCGGGTGTTGCGCCACTTCAACCGCCGTTGCCCACTCGACCTCAGAACGCCTGGGCTCTTGTGCTGACGTGCGGGCGCAAGGGTGCACAGGCTGGCACGTGCCCCGAGAGCACGAGGTCCCAGCCTGACGCCTCACAAAGGGCCACGTAGACACCTGGAAAGAGATGCGCGAGAAGATTCTTTCACACTAAGGTGACACCAGGTGCTGCCCTCAGCAGGTCTCTGCCCGAGTGGCCATCAGAATGACTGCGAGCCTCCAGACGGCCTCACCTCCCAGCCCTGAGTCTGTGTGCTTCTTGGCTTTGCCAGTGCAGGTCTCTGCACCCCCTGTGGAGCCCTGGCCCCCCTGGCCGGTCCTCCACGGTCTCCTGTGCATGTCAGTGACTGCACCCCTGCCCTTTTCATGCACACGGAACCGGATTCTCAGATTCCCGGGTGGAGCTGGACTCTGGCTCTGGGAGCCAGTGAACTGTGGTCCCCCCACCTCACACCCCGGCAGTCACTGCAACCAAACAGCCTCTGTGTTCACGTCTTGGGACAACTAATGTTTTTCACCTAGAGTTTACCGGCAGCCAGGCCGCACCCTGTTTGACGCCTCTCTGGAGGGCTGTCGGGAAAGGGCAAGCCTGGGTCGCAATGTCCCTTGGTCGGCTCCCCATCATCTAGGACCAGGCCAGGCTCCACTCCTGTGACCTTGGGCCAGCCACCCTGGCGCTCTGGGCCTCAGTTCCCTGCGACTGTGAAGAGGAGATGATGTGCCCGGCTCCCCTGGGTGTAGGATTCGGTGAAATGACACGGGGCTTTTTAGAGTGACGCCCGGCACAGGTGGAGCTGCAGCGCACTCCTTGCCACGTGGCTGGGGCATTAGGGGCTGGGGATGGAGGACGGACCTCAGCCAGAGCAACTCGGGGACTGGATGGGCGAGGGTGCTGGAGTCATGGTCCTGCGGTACAGGGTCCTCCTCGGTGTCTGCTCGGGGCCACTGCTGTGGCAGGAGGCTGACCCCAGAGACCAGACACGCCCGCAGCGCCACTGTGGTGCCTCTTTCTTCCATTGGGCAAATGTGCATGGGGAGCCTACTGGGTGCTGGGTCCTGTTGGGGTGCCGGGGACGCTGTGGCAGGGGCCCCAGGAGTGGCGGGGCACAGATCTGGGCGGGAGCCCAGCCAAGGAGGCAGGTGCTAACCCCCACACAGCCCTGGGCTGGCGAGGAGGGGCAGCCAGGGTCTTCGGGGAAGGAAGGTGGGGCTGGGAGGGCTTTGCAACCTTGCCCGACGCTGAAGAATGGGGTTTGGGCACGCAAGACGGGCAGAGCCTGGGGGACGGGGACAGAGGAAGGGCTGGGAGGCAGCGGGCCGAGCTGTGGGGCACAGAGCCTGCTGCTGGGAGCTCCAATGTGCTGCATCCCTGGCCACCTGGACACATGCCGGGTGGCTGGACTCTGGAGACCCCAGCTGCTCGTATCCACACAGCCGCACGCCCGAGACCAGCAGCCCACAGACGAGGTGCCTGCGATGCCTTGGAGCTGCTCGGGAAGGAGCACCTGCCACCCACCTGCCTCCTCCCAGGTGCCCGCAGAGCTTGCTGCAGCCCAGCCCCTTGCATGACGCCTGATGTGGCCTGTGCTGGACCCTGGGTGTCGGCATGGGCAGATCTGCCTCCGAGGGGTCACTGACAGTCTCAGGCACCCCAGAACCTGGAGAGCTGACAGGGTTGGGAAGGGGCAGGAAGAAGGTGTCCTCTTAGGGGCAGGAGCCCCTCGGACCATTGTCACCATCCGCCAACCAAACAGGCTGCCTGGGAAGCAGTGAGAGACCTGGTCCTTGGAGATGCAAACCGAGAGCCAAGCCTCTCCAACCAAGGTGGCCCGAGTGTCCAGCCGTGGCCCCACCTGGAGTGCCAGCCCCGATACCCCCTTCCTGAGAGCTGGTGCCTTGTGCGGCTTCCAGGGGAAGATGAAGCCCGTACGGCGGTGTTTCCTCTGGCCTGGGGAGGGACAGCCCAGGCCTGAGTCTGACACTCCACCGAGGAAGGGGGTGGTGCAGGAAGGGCAGGAAGGGCAACGTGCAGGTGTGTGCCCAATGGCTCTGCCGGCTGGCCGAGAGTGTCCCAGCTCCACACACACCGGCCTCCAGAGGGGTGGGAGGGAGGGAGGGCAGGACCCTTCTGTAGGGTTTGGGGAGAGGAAGTGGCCTAGGGGTTGCCAAGGGAACCCTCAGAACCGGGGTACACACAAGGCCCCTCTTTCTGCCATCTGGGCCTGGGCAGAGCTGGAGGCTCCTGCCGGGATACTCTGAGACTCGCTGGGCAAAGCTGCTGGCTGGCTCCTGTTCCCAGTGCTTCACAGCCCTGAGCAGCTGGGCAGAGGGGAAACTGAGGCCTGGGGTCATCTGCCAGGTCACTCGGTCAAGCTGCTCTTTCCCAAGACCTCCAGGGTCAAGGCTGTACCATTCATTCATTCATTCATTCGTCTGGCCCAGCTCAGCCCCTGCAGAGTGGGGGCTGGGTCAGCAACTCGGCTTCCGCGGCCCGGACTTCCTGCGTGAGTTGAAACACAGCACCTGCCTCACACCTGCTGTGGGAACCCAGCGAGCCAGTGCACACGAAGGCCTCACGGGACCTGGTCTGTGCCCACTGGCGCTATTAGCAGGGGCCTTGGGGGGAGCGAGGGTGCTCCCTGCCAGCCCCCACCAGGTGCCTGGACCCTTGATGCCCGGCCCCCACCAGACGCAGGCCCAGTCCAACCAGCGAGCACTCTGCAGGCTGGGCTCGGGCTGGGCTGGTCACCTCCCGAGAGCCATCAGCAGCCCCTCCTTTGCTCAGACGGACGGAGACTGTCCAAGCTTGGGGGAGTGGGGGGGAGCCACATGGCAGGTGCCAGGCACAGGGAGAGACGCCCAGGCACACAGCCCTGGAGACTCGTGGGCAGGGGCAGGAGGCAGGGACGGCAGGGAACAGCCACGCGACTGTGCACACCCCAGGGCCCTGAAGCATGGGTGGCCCCACCCTGACCTGACGGGTGAAGAGACCACGCCCGCCTGCCCAGGCGAGGCGCCCTGCAGCAGGAGGGCCCGGGCAGTCAGAGCTCGTCCCCCTGCGTCCTGCGGCGCCCAGAGAGGGTGCCGGCCCTGGGCTGGTGTGACAAGAGGCCTCAGGGCAGGTTTGTCTGCAGCGCAATGGTGCCACCCAGTGGCCGGTCCCCAAATTGCATCCACACTGGAACCAGAGCTGTGGGCAGCCCTGGGGCGCCTGTAGCCACCAGAGACCACAGAGACCCCACCCCGCCACACTCCCGATGGGGTCTCTGAACTGGGAGGTGTCTGCAGGTTTAGTAAATAAAAGCACAGGACAGCAGCTGAATGAGAATTTTGGATAAACAGTGGATAATTTCCTTAGTATAACTGTGTCCTAAGCATTGCACAGGACATGCTTATGCTAAAAGTCATCTATCATTTCTTTGAAATTTATCTTTAACTGTGTTCTCATATTTTCTCTATTTATTTACCCAGCTCCACTGACTCCTAGGACAACAAAGGCTTTCCTATTGGGGGTCATTGTAATTGGGATTTGGGGATCAAAAGGCTGGTTCTGCCGCCTGCCATTGATTTAGGGGCATCGGGACAGAACAAGACAATAGAAAGCAGGCCCTCCTCGGGGCCAGCGCCCGCCAGGCACGTGGGGACTCCTTCATTTACTCCTCAGAGGTGGGCAAGGACCACTGTCGTCTTCACCCTGCAGGTGGGCCTGAGCTCAGAGAAGCAAAGTGGCTTGTCCTTAGCTAGCAAGTGATCTGCTGCGGACTGAAAGTTTGTCCCCCGGATCCGCATGTTGGAACCCTCACCCCGGTGGTAGGAGGTGGGGCCCTGGGGTGATGGGTTGTAAAGGTGGAGCCTGCGGGAACCGGAACGGGAATGGGGTGGACCCTTCACCAGAGGAGAGGAGCGCTCTTGTGAGATCTCCACCCCGCCCCCCATGAGAGCACACAGTGCCGACTTGCCACCTGCAGCCCGAGAGGGCCAACACCAGACCCCGCCCATGCCGGCCCCTTGACCTGCGGCTTCCGCCTCCAGAAAAATAAACGTCTGTTGATTAAGCCACGCAGTGCGGGCTGTTTTGTTACGGATGTGCTCCAAGGCCTGCTCTGAGCCACTGCCCTGCCCGAGCGCGGGGACAGGTGGAGGGCTGGTGCACCGCCACCTCAGTCCGGGAGAGGGGAGACCACACGGCAGTGTCACAGTGGGGACGGGGCAGCGTCACAGTGGGGACGGGCCCTCCCTGTGGCCGGCAGGAGACACACCCTCGGGGTGGAGCCCTGCGAGTGCACACAGCCTGTGGGCCACCGTGCAGGGCTGGGCCTCTGCACTTTCTCCTGACACTGTCCCCAGGAGGACATGCGTGGAGTCCCCAAAGGAGCAGAGACCAGCAGAAGCTGACCCTCGTGCCGGGCAGCAGGGAGCCCACAGGCCACCACAGGGGCAGGCACAGCCCAGGGCAGAGCCCAGCTCTGGGCTGGCTCCGAGGACGAGGGCAGAGGCCATCGGGGTGTGGGCCACTCGTTCCTCCTTCTTAGTGGGCATTCATTCTCCAGCCACTTCACCAGGGGCTGGTGAGCACCTGCGGTCCCAGGGCCTGTGGCAGCGTCCAGGTAGATTCTGGGGACGCTGAGCGGACGGGGTTCCAGCTTTCCGGGGTGGTCAGAGAAGACCTTGGGATAAAGTGACGCATGAAAGAGAGAGTCCATCAGTGCCAGGAGGAAAGTTCCCTGGCAAAGAGCACAGCAAGTGCAAAGGCCCTGGGGTAGACGTGAGCTTGGGGTATGTGAGGAACAGTAAGGTGGCCGGGGCAGCCAAGTAGGGGGTAATGAGTTGGGGGTGCAGGTGTCACCACTGAGGCCACCAGGAGTGCCAGGCAGGCAGCTTTGCTGCCCCGTGTGTGCACAGGCAGGATGGGGCTCAGCTGTGAAGAGGCAGCTGAGCAGGCCCAGCACGTGAGGTGGGGGTGGGCCAGGGCGGGAGGACTGGGGAGGGGGGCTTTGTGTGAAGACCGTGCCATCAGGACTTTTTGGGAATCGGCCTAAGTATGAGAGGAAGCAGGTGAGCGAGGGTGAGCGATGGCTTTGGGCAGCGGGGAGGTGGGGAGCCGGAGTGCCTTCTGTGCAGGTGCGGTGGACACCCAGCGGGGCCAAGGCCAGCAGCCCGCTGGACGCCTGCACTCGGGGGAGGGCTGGGCTGAGGGCTGACTCGGGAGTCTGCAGCCGGCGGTGGCCTGGGTGGCGGCCCCTGGGGAGGGGCCCACTGACTGTAGAGGCCCCGGCCCACCTGCCGTGCGCCAGCACCCACGAGGCCTGAGACGGTTGTCATGGCCACCAAGGGAAGTCCACGGAGCCAAGTGACGTCCACCACCCCAACACCCCTGCCAGCATCCTTATGTTCCTGGTGATTTCCGGGCGAGGGCAAAGGGAAATCAGCCTTTAAATGGGTGCCCTCCTCTCGCCTTATAGATGGGGAAACTGAGGCCCCAGGATGTGAAGGGAGTTGCCTACGGTGCACTGGTATTCTTTCTGGCTCTCTAGAACAATGGGCTAGTTTCTCTGGCTGCTGTGTTGTCTCACGACCGGGAGGGGGCAGCAGTCCGCAAGAGCCTTCCTGGGCAGGGCCGGCCCCTTCCCGGCACCGGAGGACCTGCTGCTCTGCCTCTCCAGCCCCCAGAGGCCCCCGCGCTCCCCGCTCGCGGCCCCTCCCTCCACCCTCCAGGGCTGCAGCGGTGGGTTTGGGTTCCGGTTCGGGCTGGGTCGAGTCCTGATTCTGCCTCAGTCTGGGCTCCACTTCTGCCCCCTCCCCGGCAGCAAAGGGTCCTGCGAGGGTGTCGGCCACCTGCTGCTGCAGAGTAAGCTCCAATTTGAAGGACAGCTGATTGGAAACCCGAAAGCTGCCTGGAGCCCGAACCCCCTTTGGTGAGCAGCCTGGCTCTGGGCCTCCTTCTGCTGCCCACAGCCCCCAAGCTCAGCCCCACCTCGGGCTCCCCCAGGTCTTCCCAGGCGTCCTCTGCCGCGCAGGTCTCTGCTCACACAGCGCCGTCTCTGAGAGGCCTCTGGCTCTGTCACCTCATCCCTGTCATCCCCTGCTGAACTCCTCTTAGCACTGACCACTGCCTGGAATCAGAAACCATCCGCATACGGAGGTGGCATCACCAAGATGGCAGACCAGAAGGTCACCTGCTCATGTCCCCCACGACAACAAGAATTCTGCCCCCGTCCACAGGCAAGTGTCTCTGCAGGAGCCACAAATTCAGGTGGGAGGTGGTGAAGCCGCAGCGGAGCCGAGACTGTGGAGGGCGGTTGTGAGAGTGCAGGAGTGCAGGCCAACACTGGGTGGCCGACCCACTGAGCTGCCCCAGAATCAAGCCCAGGACAACCCAGTTCTCCAAAGGGGTTTGGCGACAGCCTATTTGGCCTTGAGCCTGCAACCAAAGTCCTCCGCAAGGGGCCAGAAGGAATTGCACACACGAGTGCCTTGGCGGAGTGGCTCGGCTGCCCCCAGCCGTTGGTCTCAGCCGTGACCCGAAAGCTGCCCTGTGGTTCTGCTCCAGCCCTTCAGCTGAGGTCCCAGCTCAGAGCTGCTCATGCAAGGAGAGTCACCTGGGCCTCACAGCCCAGGAACCTGGGCCTCCCCAAAGGACCCGCCAACCTCTGTCCCACAGCAGATCCCGGGGGGACCAAGTCTCATCTCTGGCCCCTCCTGCTGCCGTCAGGGAACTACCCTGCCTATACAGGGACGGCTGGGAGACGTGTAAGTATATGAGCCACCATGGCCAGCATGCCAGCCTCCTTCCCACAGCAGCTTCCAAGGCAGCCCGGGCTCCGGTCCAGCCCCTCCTGCCTCAGTTGAGAATCTACCCTGCTGGTGCAGGGACCTGCCCATGACGCACGCCCACCTGAGCCAGTGACACAGGCCCCGGCCATCCCACAGCAGATCCTGAGGGGGCCCAGTCTCGACTCCGGCCTTCTTGCTGTAGCCGAGGACCCATCTTGCCCATGCAGAGACCTGCTGGGAGTGCACCAGCTGGGCCACTGGGACAGTCTCCTGGACTCGGGCCCCTGGCCAGAATTCCCACATAGCCCCAGTGCCCTCCTTGGGTCTTCCATCTGGGCTGGAAATCTGCGTCCACCTGCGTCCTTGGAAGACTTGCAGCAAGCCTGGGGTTAGAGCGCCCTCTAGTGCTGAGACACTCAGTGGTCACAGGCTCAGGGACTCGAGGGTCAGTCTGCTCAGAATCCCTGGAAGGCCCTCTGAAGAGGGACAGGCACAAACAAAGCTGGACTGAGAAGGTTAAAATAAATACCTAATCCTCAACGTGAAGACATTGCTCCAAGTCCATAAACGTCAGGAACATTCAGAGAAATGCGATCAGACAGACAGACTTAGATGCCAGAGACCAACCCTAAAGTGATGAAGATGTGTGATCTCTCAGATGAAGAATTGAAAATAGCTGTTGTTAAGGTTTTTGGCTGTTTTAAAGCTAAATAAACTTCAAGAAAACACAGAGAATCAGTTCAGAAATCTATCAGATAAATTTAACAGAGAGATTGAAATAATTTTTAAAAATCAAACAGAAATCCTGGAGCCAAAAAAATACAATGAATGAAAAGAGAAATGCAATAGAGAGGCATCAACAACAGAACTGATCAGACAGGAGAAAGAATCAGTGAGCTTCAAGACAGGCTATTTGAAAATTCACAATCAGAGGAGAAAAAAGAAAAGAGAATTGAAAAGAAATGAAGACAGGTTACAGGCTGTATGAGACAATATCAAAAGAGCAAACATTCTGGTTATTGGAGTTAAAGAGGGAACTGAGAAAGACAAGGGGTAGAAAACATATTCAGGGAAATAATAACAATAAACTTTCCAAATCTGGAGGAAGATATAAATATCTGGGTGCAGGAAAGTCAAAGGTCACCAATTAGATTTTACCCAAATAAGAATATAGAGGACACATACAAACAAAGTCTCAAAGGTCAAAGACAAGAAGAGGATCCCAAAAGCAGCAAAAGGAGCCAATAACGTGTAAGGGAGACCCAGCGCACCTGCGGCAGCCTTCTCAGCAGAAACCTCGCAGGCTGGCAGGGAGTGCGACAACATCCTCGATGCTGAAGGAAAAAACCTCCAACCAAGAAAACTGTCCCCAGAAAAGCTCTCCTTCAGAAATAAGGCGAGAGAAAGACTTTCCCGGACAGACAGAAGCTGAGGAAATTTATCACCTCCAAACCTGGCCTGCACAAAATGCTAAAGGAAGTTTTCCAAACCAAGAGACAAGGATGCTAATGTGATTGCAAAGCTAATATTGTAATTGTAGTGTGTAAACCACTTATATCTTTATTAAAAGACAAAACCATTAAGAATAATAATTACAACAATTTGTTAAGAGAAAGGCAATATAAAAATACAAATTGTGAAATTAAAAACTCAAAATGTGGGGGGAGAAGGCAGTTAATGTGTATAGGCTTTTTGTTTGCTCCTTTCTTTCTTTGTGATCAAGGTTAAGTTAGTATCAGCTTTAAATAACTTGTAATAACTATAGGATGCTGTTGGTAAGCCTCTTGATAACCACAAACAAAAACCTATAATTGATACACTAAAAATAAAAACCAACAAATTAGAACACACTAACAGAAAAATCACTTAACCACAAAGAAAGACAGTAAGAAATGAAGGAGTTACACAACAACCAGAAACATGTACCAGAATGGCAGCAGTAAGTCTCTACCTGTCAATAATAACATTGAATGTAAATTGACTAAATTCTCTAATTAGAAGTTATAAAGTGGCTGAACAGATTAAGAAAAAAAAATAAGACCCAACTATTTTTTTCTTCTTCTTCTTCTTCTCTGTCTGCAGAAAGCCCAAGGACCCAACTATTTTTTTTTTTTTTTTGAGACAGAGTCTCACTTTGTTGCCCAGGCTAGAGTGAGTGCCGTGGCGTCAGCCTGGCTCACAGCAACCTCAATCTCCGGGGCTCAGCGATCCTACTGCCTCAGCCTCCCGAGTAGCTGGGACTACAGGCATTCGCCACCATGCCCTGCTAATTTTTTGTATAAATATTTTTAGTTGGTCAATTAATTTTATTTCTATTTTTGGTAGAGACAGGGTCTCGCTCAGGCTGGTTTCGAACTCCTGACCTTGAGCAATCCGGCCGCCTCGGCCTCCCAAAGTGCTAGGATTACAGGCGTGAGCCACCACGCCCGGCCTGGACCCAACTATTACTATGTGCTGCCTACAAGAAACTCACTTCACCTATAAAGACACACATAGACTGAAAGTGAGGGGATGGAAAAAGATACTCTATGCAAATGGAAATTTAAAAAGAGTATAATTAACTATACTTCTATCAGATAAAATAGACTTTAGGCCCAAAACTGTAAAAAGAGACAAAGAAGGTCATTATATAATGATAAAGGGATAGATACAGTCAGAGAATATATCAATAGTAAATATACATGCATCCAACATTGGAAAACCCAAGTGTATACAGCAAATATGAATAGATGCAAAGGGAGAAACGGACGGCAGTATAATTGCAGTTGGGGACTTCGACAGTCCACTTTGGCAATGGACATGTCACCCAGGCAGAGAACAAGCGAGGAAACCC